AAAATAAAAAGTTAAACACACCGCTTTTTCAGTGTGTCTCTTTGGCCATCTAAAAGAAGCGCATTTGATTGTTCTGCCTGTTCATATAGTGTATGTGGTTGGCATGGATAAATAAAAAAAAACAAAACATTTTTTTTAATTAAAAAACAATATTTTTCAAAAAAAGTAATTTGAAAGTGGATAATTTCCCGTGGCACACCTGATGATCTCTCAAGGCACATGAATGTGCCACGGTACACTGGTTGACAATCACTGCACTACACTTTTACTCAGGTCAAGAAGATTTTATTTTGTGCAACCACCTGACAAAATAAAATCGAGTAAATTCAACACACCATTTTTTTTCTTGCATTACGCATTGAACATTGAATTGAATTCTAACTTAAAACGCTCTTCATTTTCCCCAATTTATGCACATTCTGTGGCGCTTTGATCCGACATAATTCTCATGTGATTCCCAGCTTAGTCAAGAGTAAAAAAATAACACCTAAAAATGTATTGTCGTATACCCTTCCCAGGCATAGAGTGTCTATTTTCAATTCCCAGACATAGTTTATCGACAAAATAAACTACGGTACTTGAATTCCAGAAAAGAAAAACTCATTGAACATTATGCTTGATTCATTTTTTTTTCATTTCTCAGAGATCTCCAGTGAATCCTGTTCAAATGGTCAACAGACAAAACGGAAAACATCAGCATTAAAGTAATTCACGATATTGACTGATCTCTTTAGAAGTCTGATTAATTATCATTAATACATATTTTTGTAGCACTGTACATATGCATTCCATAATATTGACTGATCTCTTTAGAAGTCTGATTAATTATTATTAATACATATTTTTGTAGCACTGTACGTAATAACAATAGACCTATTTCCACATTGCATTACATCATACTGTATTTCTATCTATCTATCTATCTATCTATCTATCTATCTATCTATCTATCTATCTATCTATCTATCTATCTATCTACGTGTGTGTGTGTGTGTGTGTGTGTGTGTAAATGTCGGGACCCAGAAAGTAGCCTAATTTAAGAGATGACAAAGGCCCCTGCACCGCTGACCATCTGTGGGTTGCAGAACAGGGCTCTCTGGCATGATGAGTTGTTGGACCTCCATGGGAACAGCTCTGTTTGAGTCATTATGTTCCTGTTTAATGCCTATTCACACACTTAATAACTGATTGCGAACGTGGAGGACTTTGTTTGTCCGTACCTTTCACACAGAGTGGGAGGCAAAATATTTTATTATTGCGTTCGTGTGGGCCTCCATCGTCACACAATAGCGCCGCGATTCCCTGCGTGACAATCCGCTGCCATTTTTAACAACTCGACCTGTCGAGGGTATGATTGGAATATAATTGTTCGTGACTCATGACAAACTGGTTTTTCAGAATTATTGCTATATTAAGCAGAGAGAGAGAGTTGGAAATTACTGACAGCACTAGAACTCAGTGAAGAGCAGACCAGATCACTCGTAAATATCGAAAACCAAAAAAAAATGTTGACGTGAAAGGTTAGACTATGCCACTGGAGCCCATTGATCTCACAGCCCCGCTTGACAGTGAACTGAAAAGTTAACATTTTGTCTATAATGAATTTAATAACTCCATTATTTTTCATGAAGGATTAACACCTTTAAAAATGCATTTTGTCACTTGCTGTCGACTGAAATTGACATCTCATGTACTCAGGGGTTAGGTAACAAACAATCATGCTTCATGTGTCAAAGGTGTTAATTACACATGAAAAATAATGACATTATCTAATTTATTACAGACAATATATACATATATATATGCTCTGTATATCCCTTCGTCATGTCATAGGTTTCTCTTGTTCATCTTCCTTTATGGTGCTCCTGGAGAAAACCTCATTGGCCTCTAATTAGGAGCCATTAATGTTTCTCTTTCAGATGTCCAGCCTTGTGAGTTGATGGAACAATCAGTGAGTCTGTCATGGTTGATTTTCAAAGCTCAGGAAATATGAAGTGGGGATTCGTGGGTAACAGCAAAAAAAAAAAAAAAAGCCAACTGCTGTAACAAAAAGAGGGTTTGTTGTCTTTTCTCTCTGCAAAGAAAGCAATAGAGATAATATGATCAGATTTTGCTTTGTCTTTAACCAATAGGACAAAATATTTGAAAAATCTTGGACTTTATGTGTATACTGCAAAAACGGTAAGCAGAAGGTACCTTGAGTGTTCTCTGTAGGATTCAAATTAATGTAATTATAGTACTAGAATAATGCGGAAGCACAGAAAAAGTAAGTGCGACTTTAACAGAACATCATGTTTCTATAAGACGCTCTTGTCAAAGCACCTTTTTTTCTCTTCTGATAAGATTATTCATCACTTGCTGACATATTCTTTACAAACCCAAACATTTTTGCTGCTAACGTCTTTGAAATCATTCTGAATCTCATTTCATTCTCATTGCTTTTGCTACATTGACCTTTAAACATTTGCTTGGACCAATGACATGAAGTCAGTGTACAGAGCGTCATCAAGCCCGATAAGATTTAAGTCAATACGGCTGTTTGCAGACTGTGTGATATTACCCAGTTGTGTTCAGGAGAACACTCTGCTCAGCCAGGCAAAACTCACAAAATGCATTTAATGACGGCAAATCAGATATGCGCTTGATATTGTGCAGCCACTTGTGTGCCAAGCCAGTCGTAGTCATTGCTGCAGTGACTTGTAATCACGCTGTCGACCAGAAGTCTCAGCAGCTGCAGATTCTCTCTGTTGCAATATCAGCGAGACACTGTGCGAGTCAATAGGATGTATTAGATCCAAATCCCAAAAGCGCTTCGCAAGCTGTCCACCATATTGAACCTCTTTTGAGAGATGCTGTTGTCCATATGGTCCCTATAGTTCTAATTTTCGTATCGTAAAACCACAAAGCATAAGCTTTGACTGGGTGAAAATTAGCACTGTAGCAACATTTCCTGTAAAGAGTCCGTATGAGACCAAATCGTTTTCATATACAATAAAAAAGTGAGAATTATGTATATTGGGGTAATTTGGGGAGGAAATAAGCGAGGATACTCTGTTATTGTCTGAAAAAATACTCTGTTTTTGGTTTGGTTTTTTTTGCTCAGGCATTTTCGTGCCCAGGAACTATGTTGCACTTAGTTTTGGAACTTAAATCAAACAGAAAAAGTGCTTTTCTGTGATCTTGTGGAATCTTGCTGTCAAGGAACTGTGTTGAAGTGAGTTGAGGTTCATTTAGGTTATTTCTTGAGGCGGGGGGGGGGGCAATTGCCCACTGTATGTTAATTAAAGTGTTCTTCTGTTGTTTGCAGGGATGCAACCAAGCCTTGCCACAAATAGCAACAATCCATAAATACTTTTTAACTGCTTCCATAAAAGGGGTTTTTAACTGCATGTACTGGCTGGCAAAGCAATTAAATTGGGGAGGATCATAATGTATCAACAGCACACATCTGGCATGTTCACAACCACGAACCCATGTTACATAAACAGCTATTCTGTAATTCTCTTATTTAACACAAAGGAACCATCTTCACATAAGGCCCATCGGTAGTATTAGCTAACCTAAATAACACTGACACTAAATAACACTGACGTGACATCATGGATGGAAAGCAAATGCGTACACTTGGACTTTACACACATGTATCAAGTCATAAACCTTCCATTTTGACATTTACACACAATATCAATACATGCAAATTGCATATTACCGCAAAGTAAATTTTCACAAGCTATGAGTAGCAGCATCTTGAGAGAGAGAGAAAAAAAATCATACTTTTAATCTTGACTAGATGAAGTGCATTCACGGATCTGAAATTTCAAACGCAGGGGATAAGAAACTTCTCCCAAATTCCACAAAATGGCAGCAAAGTTAAAGGGTTGCGGGTTCGTCTTGAGCACACAAACAGTGAATATGCGGGGGTTAACTGTACTAAACGGTGCTCCATTTTTTTTTCATGTTTACCTTTCTTCTGTGCTTTCGGTTTGCCGTGTTTCATTTGAGCAGCGCCGCCTTAATGAAGTATTGATCGATAAAGAGCTGAAAGTAGCCGTGGAATTTATTTCCACTGATGTTTCGAGATAACCATGGACAATATAGTCAACCCACTGTATATACTGGAAGACCCATGAATGGAAGTCCAGTGAGAAAATGTAATGTCCAATTACTGTATGATATGAACAAAAATATCACAATGGCAATGAAATCATTTGTAGCAAGCATTCAGGTGCTTCAGACTTATTACCAAAATTGTGTGGGACATACAATATAGTCTGTGATTGAAATACTGTACTGCACATTTTAATTGGAAGATGACTAACAGCGATGCAGGGGCAGCCCTTGGTGTGACGCAGGTAGCGCATGTGCTTAAGTCTACCTCTGAGTCAAAAGGCTTCTGCGTTGTTTCTCACTCCGCTCTGTATGGCATTTGCGTGTTCTGTCTGTGCTTGTGTGGGTTTTCTCAGGCTACATCCTCCCACGTTCCAAAGTGGTTTCAGAAAATAAATGAATGAACTAACTACGTGTCCAAAAAAAAAAGTCTGTCATCCACTGCTATCATCGCGTGATGATTATTCTTGTCCATTTGTCTCTCTGGTCAGCAGTCCCGCTATTAATAGGGTTTGGTGTCATCATCCGAACTGAACTTATTCTGCAGCAGCACTTGTTGCCATGGAGACCCGGCCTAGGAAATGAGCCAAGATTTTAGATCAGCACAGTGTAAGCTTGTGTGTTTTCCAATAACGGATATGGCATAGGTCAGTTCATTGAAAATAGTGATGAATTTGATTCAATTCTCTTTAAAGGTACAGAGAGTTAAAATATAAGACATAACAATTAAATACATCTAAATTGTTTAAAAAGCAGCATTACTGTAACTGACCACCACAGGGTTTTATGAATCTAACATTCTGCACTCTTTAAGTACATGAGTAAATGTGATCCCAAACAAACTGTTCACATTTGCCTGTATTTTATCCATATTTTGTGTTTTCTCGTTGCAGCACTTTAGATGACGAGGGCACAAACCTCAGGCAGCAGAAGCTTGATCGGCAGGTAAATATTTTTTGGAACAATAGAGCAATCTTTCACGCATTTTACCCAAGGAAAATCTCATGGCACTGCAGAGTAGGTGAATCTCCGAGAGCCGCGAATATGCGGTGCCAACTGCAGCAAAGGAATCATATTTATAATTTCCCACCCCAAAAATAATTTTGAAAAAACACATTATTTTCATTTATTAATTTCTTTTTTGTGTGACGATTAATCAATGGGCCACTTATAGTGGGCACAGACCACATGCGGCCTGCAGCCCGCCAGTTGCCTATCTCTGGCCGAGATAGATGAAAAACGATATTTGTAATTAATAAATAATAATTTTCAGACATAAGAAGTGAAACAGAATACTTTTCCCATGGCCTCCACTTATGATTTTTCACGGCACACAAAGGGTGCTACAGAGGAATCACTGCAGTAGAGGAACATGTTGACATCATCCGATAAAACAGCTCTTTTATCCTGACACCACCTCCTGCAATGCCGGCGTGGGGCCTCAAAAGGTCAGCTCGTCTCTGGGGTGTTCCACTGACAGATGAAAGCTCCTTTTATACTCTCTGTGCTGAACAAAGTATATGATCACAGAGTTGTTTTTTTTTAAGACCTGTTAAGAAATCACACGTATTACTTAGTATAATGTTCACCTGTGTTACATGGATTGGGAAGGGAGAAATTATATTTTCCTCAAGTCAATCAAGAGTCTAAAGAGTTAGAACATTGTAGATATCATACTGTACTACACTATATTATACACAAGATAATTTATGTTGGTGTATAAGGTGACCGAAACTCTTCACTGTACAAGGTCTACACCCTTGTAATGCAAATTTTCCGCACTGTAGGACACACCTACAAGCATTCAAGTTTCTCAAAAGCTGACGGTGCGCCCAATAATCCGATGCGCCTTATATGTAACGTAACAGTCTCTTTATATTCCCCGTTGAGTTGTTTCCCTGTTAGTGTTCCTATGCCATCTAGAGGTGATTATTAGCAGGAACCAATTGTAACCTAAAACGTCTCTGCCCGACACTAATTGACATGTGCATTCGCCAACACACACTCAGACAACTACTTGGTGAGCTCTGCGCAGACATTATGAAACAAAGATAATACCAAAAGCATAGTTACCTACTGACTAAACGAAGGAAGAAGACAAGCAAGACTTCTAAGGATATTTAGCCCCTTATGCATGTGAGCCCACGAGGTTTGTGTGCCAGACATTTTGAAGGGGTATGTATACTTTTTTTAGATGCATTTTTATTTGTCCCCTGCTGTGTTGTGCAGTCAAAACAATATAAATGTTCCTCTCCTCTTTTATAATCCTTAACTTACGAAAGCCACATGGGTTAACAGGCTCAGTGATTAAGACGCTCCATGATTTGGCTTAATGGTTCACTTCATTCCTCCAGTTTTAAAGGCTTATAACTGGCACCCAATCAGCTGTAGAATACATTTTAAAATTCTGCAAGTGGTCTATAAATCACTTAACAGTTAGGTCCAGAATACATTGGCTGCCCAGTGCTGCCAGGGTGGCCTGGAGGAGGTGAGAGGGTCTGTCCATCATAGCTTCCAGTTTATCTATCATCCTCCTGTTGCCCAACTCCTCCAGAGTGTCCAGGGAGCAGCCCAGGACAGAACTGGCCCTCCTGACCAGTCGCTCTAGTCTCTCTCTGTCCCGGGCTGAGATGCTGCCTGACCAGCAGACAATGCCATAATGGATGGCCGAAGCCACCACAGAGTCATAGAAGGTCTTAAGGAGTGACCCCTGAACCCCAAAAGACCTCAGTTTCCTGAGTAGGAAGAGCCGTTCCTGATCAGGGCGTCCGTGTCGGTAGACCAGTCAAGTTTATTGTTGAGAAGAACACCCAGGTACTTGTAGGAGGTCACCCTCTCTGTCCGTACCCTGGATGTTCATCGGTGCAGGTGAGGACTGTTTCCTGCAGAAACCCACAACCAACTCCTTAGTTTTCCCGGGGTTGATCTGGAGGTGATTCTGCTGGCAACAGTCCACGAAGTCCTCCGTCAGTCCCTTGTACTCCCGATCATCTCCTTCTGTAATGATGCCGACAATCGCGGAGTCGTCAGAGAACTTCTGACGGAACTTTACTGTTAAATGCTTTCTGTTAATGTGTTGAAATGTTATCAGTGTACGTTCGTTGAGTAATTTTTGTTAGTTACTTTTGTTTTCTCTGTTTTGATTCTGATTGTCGTTAATGGTTGTGTTTGTGAATCCTTGGAGGTGTTGTGTATTTGCTTGTGTGACGCACATTAAGTTGTCTTGTGTTTGAAATGTGTTAAATGAATAAAGCTGCTGCGCCTTCCCTTCAGTGTGTCATTCACACTTTATTTAGCACAGGAAGTAAATGTAGCCTCTCTTAAATTAAGGACACACAGCCAACCTGACAATGATGACATGCTTGCATCTCATGCTCTTCCCCGAGCCCTCCATTAGTAGAAGCTTTGAATATTTGATGAACTCTACCTGGAAGATGTGCATGTAAGTGACAGTCCAGATGAATGGCTCTCTCCAAGATCACGTGAAAGCGGTTTGGAGCAATGTGTCATCCATCTAAAAATGTATTCCTTCCTCTTGTTAATCTCCATTGATCTCCGTATGTGTCCTCATCTTGCTTCGTGTGTCCACCATGTCCAGCGAGTGCTCCTTGAGCAAAAGCAAAAGAAGAAGCGTCAAGAACCCCTGATGGTCCAGTCCAACGTAGATGGACGGTCTCGCACCCGTCGCACCAAACAGAGTGAGGAGCAGGCTCCTTTGGTGGAATCCTACCTCAGCAGTAACAGCAGCACCATCTATCAAGGTTAGTTGGACCCCCTTCACGCTGTCTGATAAATGGGAATGGTCGGGCCCCATGTGTTTACTTTCGAGTACAATCTATACTAATGGACTCCATTGAGCTAACTTTTGCTCCTGTGACTAATTTGTGTGGACCAAAAATAATATGGTACATTTTTCAAAGTTTCGAGTGTGGTGAAAAGCAAGAGTATACAGTACAGTACCTTCTGCCATTTGTTGTTTAGCAATGCTATAATGACCATATACAACATATCCAGTGTTTCCTTGCATATTTGCGATTCAGATTATTTAAGCTTTTGGAGCCTGCCCTCCGTTATCCACCTATTTGCAGCCCCATCAAAAGTAAATAAAAGTACAATGGAACCTCAGGTTTTCATGATTACATCGTTCCAGAAAGTCTGGCTAAAACCACATTGCATGAAATCCAAAACAGTGTTTCCCAGAGGAATTAATGTAAATCCAATCCATCGGTTCCAGATACCCAAAAAAACTATTTTGAAAGAAATACTAAAAGCTAACGAAATGGATGAATGAACATTTCACATCATTATACCTTAGAGACTCTTTATGGCGTACAGTGAAGAGTAGAGACTGGAATCATCTAAAACTTATTCTTGAAATCTGTAATGTTTCTCATCCTCTATCAAATGGTTGATGCGTGGAACCCTGTTGTATATGAATGCATTTTATAAGAAGGGTTCAACAGATTTTTTTTTTTTTTTTTTACACTGCAAGACTATATACTTTCACGGTCTCCTCACCAATAGTCAAGCAAGTAGGAGTAGCAGTGGCATAACACGTCCTCTCAAAAGTCAGGGCTTCAAAATAAAAAGGTCACCAGTGGAAAAAAATTTCATCAGAGCTTCCTTGGCCTCATGTTGGCTCAAACTATTTTTTAATGTGTGACTGATAAATATGCAGGGTGGCACGGTGGTCGAATGGTTCCTGCATGGGTTTTCTCTGAGTAGTCCAATTTCCTCCCTCATTCCAAAAACATGCGTGGTAGGTTAATTGAAGACTCTGCATTGTCCCTAGGTGTGATTGTGAGTGTGAATGGTTGTTTGTCTGTGTGCCCCGCAATTGGCTGGCAATCAGTTCGGTACGTGCCCCGCCTACTGCCCGACGACAGCTCGGATAGGTTCCAGCACGCCCGCAACCCTCATGAGGATTAGCGGCTTGGATAATGGATGGAGGAATGATAAATAAGCCTCCATGTGGCTAAAGAAAGTGTGGTAAAATGGTTATATTGTGTGCTTCCATTTTGAAGGTCTCACTTTTGATGAATGTGTCACAACACCGTTGTGCCCGACTGCTGCAGAGTAGAGCGGGAAGGTTCTGGCTAATCAAGCTTCCAATGTGGAATATGCCTTACCATCTGTCGAACCCTTTTTACACAATTTAGGAAATTCTTTGGCTGAATGCACATCGACTGATTCTGGTCAATAAATGGCTGAGTGATGTTTTTTTGTTTTTTTTAATGAAGTCCAACCAAATGTACAAAAATCGTGACACACTTAACAAACAACAACAAAAATGAAAACTTGGTCAGAAGAAAACCAAGTTGCCACATTATTGCTTTGGCACCTTCTTGTGGACTCTGTCATTGTTGTCATTGTTGAACTGAGAGAAGCTGCTTCATTTAGACCAGGGATGGGCAACTCAAATGCTGGAGGGTCCCACAATTTTTCATAAGTACTACTGGGGGGCCACATAGCATCATGCACTTCCAAACCAGATTTATGACAAAAATGTCATTTTAAATACGGACAAAATACGGAGATATGTGCAAAATACATGCTCTTAATATACTTCATTTTTCATAATACATTTCTCAAATCACGTATAAAACTATAATAACCCAACAACAAAGGGTTTGAAGCAAAATAAGACCCAAAAAACAACAACAACACAAACTGATTCAACCAAGCGGCTCCCTCCACTCCCCAGTGCAAAGAGCTCTCTTGCTTTCTTGCAATTTTTCACAAAAATCAAGTCAAAATTTGAATATTATTGAGGTACTTTGTTTCTTCTGTGTTTCATTCCAAATCTGCACAAAATTATTAGGCCTAATGTCACGGTATAAGACAAGCACATCCAAGTCATGTCTGCCATCTAATGGTGAATGGTGATATTACAACTGAAATCATTTCTTTCCCCCTTTTTTAACCTTTCAATTTCTAAAATATTTTGTGTTTTTCAGAATTTTTTTTCCTCCATTTACACTGCCTTTTTCATAGACAACGGTAGTAATATAATAAATGTTTATTTAGAATTTTGGTGACTATTTTTTTGAAATTGTCGCAGGCTGCATGCTGCCAGTTGCCTATCCCTGATTTAGACAAACCATGGGCCTATGTTATGGAGAAGCAGTGCTTTGCCACTATCTTGTGACATCTACAGGCAATTGTAATTGTTTTGTTTTGGGGTTTTTTTTCTTAGGGAGAGCACAGACTTACCTGTACAGGGTTTGTTAGCAAATGTATGTGAGCAAGCTGGTTCATGTAAGACAAATTAATGGGTGGTGTCATTATGATTCTGCTCCAGTGATGCCAATGACTAAAACAGTAAAAATCCGTTATATGCCTGCAGCTGTTATCCAGCTGTTTAACAAAATGTAATTAAATCTTGTAAATCAGTTGTGGAAATCGGTATTGTAATTTAAATTTTTTGTTCGATCTCTCTTTTTAGTTACTGAATTAAACGGGAGCGTGGAAAAGGCCTTAAAAACAACAAACAACGGCACTAGTGGCTCAAGTCTAAAAAGAAGAACAAATACGAGTACAAGTATTTTGTACTTATCAGATTAGATGGTACACATTTCAATACAGCGTAAAACTGAAGGATTTTATTGCCTTATATTTTATTTTCTCAACGTGCTTTTCACTTTACTTCAGTAAACTATTTTTCACAAACGAGACACAAAATGTTCTTTTGTGAATTTCTGCAGGGAAATTGCATGTGCCACCACACAGAAATCAAAGCATAAATCCAATTTCCACCTCTCAGGGCCACTGAGCTCAGGTTCATGTGCTGTCATTCTTCCTGTCAAGCCTGCAAAAAGTACATTGGCAAAATGTCACATTGCACACTTACTGTTCTGCAGAGAAAGGAAATAATTATCTGCACTGCGCAAAGTCAGAATCTTCTGACATCTATTCACTTTTTGTTAAATCTTTCATTCATTTGCATGCTCTTCTCTTTCAATTAATTTGAAGTAGATGCAGAAATGCATCTCAGGTGCTTCGCCATTCGGCACACTTTGACAACATAACAAGCACTGTGAAATTTGGATTGCCTCTCATTGGATTGTGCAAATGTACCTAAGGCCAGTTAGTGTATGGCACATGTGTCAAACTCAAGGCCCGGGGGCCAGATCCGGCCTGCCACATCATTGTATGTGTCCCGCAAAAGCAAATCATGTGTGTCAACTTTTTGTTTATTGTTTATTGCACATATAAAAATATACAGTAATAAATTGACAGAAAGTGAGGGTTAAGTAAAATTGCGAAAAAGGAAAAGAAAACAGTCATCAAACAGCACAATCGCATGATCCTTGCTGAAATCTGTTCACAATTATCACATTGTCATTGGATCAACTATTATCATTGACTGATTTCAAAACCAGTCATCCATTAATTTGTTGTGTACAAGTCCTAATGCGATGAGACGATGAAACATTTTTTGTGGTTTCACTGTCGTAACGTCCCTCCGAGGGAAGATGCAATTCGAAAGTGGCCCGCGACAAAATGAACTTGACACTCCTGGAGTATGGCTCGTGTTCCGATTATATTTATTTCTTGCTGCCTGAGAGCAATTTATGTGTCTTTGGCTACTTCATTGTTTAGGGCCAGAACCCAAGCAGGAGGAGATGAAGGTGAAAGCGGACCCCCAGCCGCCTCGCTCGATGAAAAAGGGCAGAGCGTCAGCCAGCTCCACTCCTCAGACAGGCAGTGACAAGAAGGAGAGGAGAGGGAAGCACAAAGGTCAGCCCGATGACGAACCGCCAGTCCGACACAGAACGATCCACAAACACGTTGAAGTGACAGGCAGGGCCAAAGTCCAAGCAAGAGACTAATCGAACGGAAAAGGAAAAGTGATATACAATACACGGTAGAACACTTCAACTCCAGTCAATAAACAATTCAAAAGTCCAGTAAAAGACAGTCTTCAAATGTTCAAATTATTTCAAATGAAAGATGTCATAAACATCCTTGACGATTGTCCTCTAATTAGATGTATGTAATATTACATTACCTAACTTGCAGCTATGAATGAATCGTTGAAACCATTTTTATTATAACGTCCACACAGTGTCATATGGATTGGTCTTAACAGTTCTGTTAGTTAACACAGCCTGTAAGGCAGTGACGTCTCGGCTGAATCCTGATACGCGATTGGATGAAAAAGGGTGAGTCGAAGCAGGTAGCATGGTGGGCCTGCCTGTGTGGGTGTGTGTGTGGGTGTG